CCCCAAAACCCCAAAACCCCAAAACCCCATTGAGGACTTGCAGTGTAGAATTTTAATAAAAAATCAATATTTCAGGGATCTGAGTCTATAGAGTATTATTAACTAAGCAGCACTTCTATGACTCTTAAGTCTTAACCATGTTATCCCAAACCCATAACCTCAGCGTCTCCTTCACCATCAGCTCCAATTATATTGTTTCATATTAATATTTTCTTCAGATAACTTCTTCAAATAAATCTGAAAAATTGAAATTTTTCATAATTTTTTTACATTTCCAAAAAATGCTTAAAATGTTAACAATCGGTCAAATTTCTAAAAATCTGGCATCTTGAAGACCATATCCGCTTGGATTATCTTTCGTGCTTTCTGCTTCTTTAACTTTATTATTTCGAGTTTTCTAAAGTTGAAGGCTTGGAGATTACTCTCATTTTATCATGTCATCGTAAGCCTTCGGATTTGCTTTTAGAGCCTAAAGTAAGAGAATGAGGTACCTCCAATTTTTATCCCTTTTGAAACACCCAGCTTCCGTAGGAACCTAGTTTTAGTGCTAAAGAAGTACCATGATCGGGTATCTGTTCTTAGTCCTGACCTTATGATCCTCAATAGCTGATTTTTCGAATTCTAGGGTTAGAAAAGAAGCTTACCATCTTCTAGGAAGGAATCGACTCTGCTCCAATTTTGCATTTTAAGGTCTTTCTATACGGAAATATTAGCCAGCTTTGGTCTCCGAGCCCATGGGAATTCTGAAACGTCACGTACTAACTTAGAGCACCTGAAATTTCTCTTGAACCACGTTGTGTCTTTCTGTGCATTTGGCGAACTACATTTATCAGCCACGAGTACTCAATAATTAGGTGAACTTTTTCTTCGGGAACTTCTTCATAACTCTTAGTGTCCTTAACCTTGTCTGGCTTATTCTTGAGATCAGATTCGAGATTAGTTGAGGGATCTGGGTTTAGTGAGATGGGTATTTGGAAGACTTACTGGTTGTTTTGGGCAAATGAAGTTTAAAGCCTTTAGGTTGGAAGAACGGATTTATCAGCTGGGTTTTAGGAGTAGTCCTCGAAATCTTCTCAAATCTATTAAATGGTTAGGCATTATGAAGTTTCATGATGAAAGAACAGGAAGTAGAAATATCAACAGGCTTTGTAAAAATTTGAGCATTTTTAAATAAGAATTAGCCCAAGCAATATAGTGTTATAAAGAAGAGAATGAATATTTTTGATCAAAGTAGATTCATAAAGGCTCCTCGTTTGGTCAAATAAATTAACGAATTCAAAGTGATTAATTTTTTATGATCCAAATTCCTTTAAAATTGCTTTTGATCACTGCTCTGATTCTAACTACAAAAATCTTACACTTCTCTTATCTTATCTCTTCCAAAAGGCTTCCTAAAATTTTGAGCGCTATGAGCCATCTGGAGTCTCTTTTTGGTCTGAGCTAAAGCCAAGTTCCTTCTACCCCTTTGTACTGGCGTCTGGAGAAAAATCGGACTCTTTAGCGTTTTCTGTGATGACTTTAACTTTAATTGATTTACTTTCGGATTGGTTGCATTCATAAACCTCACTACCTTCAGTATCTTCTTCTGTCATTTTCTTTGGCTTAATTTATTTTGCAGCTAAAATTTCTGGCTAAAACCTTACTCTGGCTATATACGGTTGATGTCCCTTGTGATATCTCTACACTAATAACCCTTATGAACTTACCAGAGATGGCCAATTTTGAATTGGCCTTTGACAGATAGATAGGTGAGAGATCCCTTGCTTTTATCTTAGCATCTAGTCTTAGTAATTCTTTCTTGGTCAGCCCCTTCGAATCTCTCTTTGAATCCTTCTTCGGCTTGAACCTATCCCTCAGCCAGTGAGTCTTACTTAATAATATGCTTATTTCTGGTTTTGAGCAAGCTGAATTTATTTAGGAAGTTCTTTTCTGATTTGAGAGATTCCTATAAGTCACAGTTTGTTAATAACATTCTGAGAATTGGCTTGTAACTTGCCATACAGATTTAGCAGCTGAGCAGCAACCTTCTTCAGGGAGTTCCTAAGCCAGTCTAAGAGGCTGGCTCAGGAATGAAAAGCTAAGGAATTTTTTATAAAATGGGATAATTCAAGGAAGGAATTTGAGAATTTTGGCTTACCGTTGTCGGAATACTCTAGTTTCACTTTGAGTTTTTCTAGAGGCGGATTAGAGATGTAGGGGCTTTAGAATGAGAAAGAAACTATCATGGTGCCGAAGGTATTTTAGTTCTATGTGTGGGTATTGGCTGATGGGTAACATTCAAACATTCTGTTTAACTTTATTATGATGTTAGTAAAAACTAGAGCTATATTTTACAAAAAGATGAGATGATAATGTGTTTAAATAAGCTAAAAGTTCTAAAATTCTTCATAAAAATTCCCTATAACCCCATAGCTCACATAAAGATTTAGGTTGCTAAATTTTTGACAACCAGCTTATTCCTTCCATCTACCCTAATCCTCTTAACCCGATTGTTGAAACCCTTGCTCCTCGATGCTTTAGCTTACCATTAATTCTGTTTACATCATCTCCTCTGGATATTATGGGCTAGGCTTACCTCTTGATGTCCATACTTCTTCAGTTAGTACTTGATAACATTATTTTTAATTATTTAGCAAATTTTTTACTTCTAAAAGGGGTTTTGGGGTTTTGGGGTTTTGGGGTTTTGGGG